TTAGATATGAATTGAAGACTTATGAATTTGGAGACGATCAAGTGAGTTTTGGTCGAACTTGATAGAGTTTTATCTTCATTCCAATATATGTAACAAGAGAGATCAAGTGGCTTGACTATCTAGTTTATCGAAAGAAATTTAGTTAAAATTTTTGGTTTTGAAAGTTTGGTTAGTGGTGTTTTATAAAAAAGGTTTAGTTAGCAATTTGTAAAAAAAGGAGAAAATTTATGTTTTAGAATGAATTTTTTGTTACTTACTCTCATTTTTATTTATTTGGGATGATATTTGTTATAGTGGTTTTGTACGACATCGCCCATATTATTAGTTTTGTATGAATTGGCGTATTTTTGTTTTAATACCACCTATGGGCTCCAAGTAATTAGACACGACTCTGGATAAGTAATATATTACTCCAAATTGCTTTTCGTTTTTGTTTCTTAACTCCGATTTTTATATGATCACAGCATTGAAGATGCATGCAAGGGTCATCGATATTTCACTTGTCTTCAAGCCAGTTTTGTCATTTGTTAAATTAATGTTATCTGCTATAGATATATATAATTTTTTTTTTTTTTCCAGGTCTTGTTTTCTTGAACATGGTCGAGGGATGAAGACAGATGTGCGTGGGAAGCAAAAATGGTGATGAAACTGGAACTAGCTCTAGTGTGTGCCAAGGTTGGCTGCAAAGTTTCTCTGCCCTTAGAGAAAATTGACAGAAAACATAGGATCATGCGGTAAAAAGAGAATCAGAATAATTCTAAATGACTCCTTAGAGGATATGGTACTTAAGATCTACCAATTGATCAAAAATGCAATGGAAGAAACATGAGTAAGATGATAGCATGATATTCGTCAAAAACAGTACATTATTAACATAATGATTTGTCAAAGCTCATTCTAAAACCATCTATGTTTTGCTTAACGTATACCATACATGGAAGAGGCTTAGTTAGAAGTTAATCAAAGACCTCTTTAATCATCTAGCTTTATTTATTAAATATTCTCATATGTCTCTTTTCTTGGTTTCTTTCTTTTTTCGTATGAGGTTCAAAATTCTTCAAAAGTAGGTCATTTTCTTTCTTCTTCGCTTTAAGCTTTTAAAGGACCAAAAATCTCTAAACTGTCTAATTAGGTTCTTAATTTTTCCAGCATTTACGTCATATGAAGCCATTAGATTCTCAACAGAAGGTGCAGCTTGTTCCCTAGTGACGACGAGGAACTCGTAAGTACTTTGGGAGCTGGACCTAGCTATTGCTTTGCTTCACCATTATTATTATTTCTAAATTTTTATGTAATCTTTTGGACCAATTTCAATTATTTGTTGATTTTAGATGTAACGGCCCATTTAAAGCACATGTTATTTATTATTTGGTCGACACCATTTAAAGCAAATCTTATTGCTATTAATTTAGCTAAATCCTGGTCAGTGGTCACCTTCCTCCCACCCCCACAAGTAATATATATCCTCAGCCACCTACATATTTGATTGGCACAATAATCACCTTCATGTTCTTTTTGGATACGATAGTACTATCAATTCCCCATTTACATAACCAGCTCATTGATTTATATATAAGTTTTGTAGACTGTTCTTCGAAAATAAAATTAATTTATATAATGTATTTGTCTATAGATGAAACAAGAAAACGAACGAGTAGAATTATCTCTAGAAAAAAACCAGCACTGAACCTCAGCTTAGTCATTTAGCATCAAAGCCATCTAGACTTGCCTGAACCGGACCAAATCCTCAAACCAAAAACAAAGTCCCAAACTATAACAAAAGAACCAGTCTGAAACCGGTTGACGAGGCAAAATAGGCTACTAGAAAAAAAAAGAACAGGCAAGAACCGGTCTAATTGATTGGTTTATGACTCATGACCAAATAATTCGGCCCAGCCCACGACAATACTCCAAAAACCTCGTAACTCCGTATAGTGCGGCGGAAACGCAAAAAAAAAAAAAAAAAACCAGAGAAAGTGAGGAAAAATCGCGATCGGCTTCTCCAGCCCCACCCGACACAGTGTTTCCACTCAATCGCTGTCGCGTTTCTTCCGGTAAAGTTTTCCGTTCTGCTTCTGCCGCGTCCCATTTACCGTCGGTGAGGTCCTAGACCTTCATATTTCAATATTCCGAGTACACGAATTAGGGTTTCGTGCTCATTCCCCATTTGGCATTCGGTTAATGGGAATATGAAGCGGGGGAACTGGGAAGTGATGAGTCGCAAAATCGTTTTTTTCCTAAATCGCGTTTGATGTAATTGCGTCTGCGTTCTCTTGCTCGACATCTCTTTGGTTGTTTATATCTTCAGTATCTTGAGAGCTTTAGAATTATTGATCTAATCGGTATATCTTTTTACACTTCAATATTGTTTAATATGGTTTGTGCTCAATTTCTAGAATTGTTGAGCTAAGGCTTGTGCAAATGTTTGACTGTTTATAATGTGAATTTTCTCAATCTCACTGTTTCGCTGTTTTTTTTTTTCCTTTCTTTTTTTTTTTTTTCTGTTGAAACGCATTAAACGTAGAGTTCACTATTATCATGATTAAGACATCAGACATGTACAGGGGACAGTCTTGTAGTGTAATACTTATGTTTTTTTTTTTATTGTTAGGAGTTGGAGAGAGGAAGAGTTGAAAAATGAGGCCAAAAGCTGTGTGGGAGGCAGATTACCACAGAGTATTTCTTGATCTATGCGTGGAGCAAACGTTGGTAGGGAACAAACCGGGGACACATTTTTCGAAAGAAGGTTGGAGAAATATATTGAAATCGTTTCAAGAGCAGACAGGCGCGATGTACGATAGGATGCAGCTTAAAAACCATTGGGACACAATGAGCAGGCAGTGGAAAATATGGTCTAGACTTGTTCAATGTAGTTTGATGAATTGGGATCCTGAGACCAACACATTTGGTGCGAGTGACGAAGAATGGGCAAACTATTTACAGGTTTTACCCCAAAATCAAACCCTTTTTTGTTTAAATCATGTTTTTTGTGAAGAATATTTTACATTTGATGTTTTTCAAGGCTGAAAGTTGATTGCTTTCTTCACAGGGGAATCCTGATGCAGGGCAGTATAGGTTGAGTGTTCCACAAGATCTCGAGAAACTAGAGATCATCTTTGCGGGTAGTAATGTTAGTGTAGAGGTCAAAGATGATGAGTTTTCAGATGTCAGGAAGAGGCGAAGAAGTTGTAACGAAGAAGAAGAAGAAGAAGATGAAGATAACCGAAGCATGTGTAGTTCGTCTAATCCTCAAACGAAAGGATATTGGTCTCCGTCTACACACGAGCTGTTTCTTGATTTGTTGGTGCAAGAGACTTATAAAGGAAACAGACCCGACACACATTTCAACAAGGAAGGGTGGAAGACGATTCTTGAGACGATCAATGAGAAAACCGGCCTTGGTTATTCAAGAGCTCAGCTGAAAAACCATTGGGATTGCACAAGGAAATCTTGGAAGATCTGGTGTCAACTCGTAGGAGCAAACAGCATGAAACGGGATCCGGAAACTTGTAGTTTTGGTGCGTCTGAAGAGGAATGGCGAATTTACATTCAGGTATATATGCACCAATGCTAGTGTTTAACTTATTGGATTTACATTTTGAAGAAAAGAAACTGATGTTTTGTCTTTGGTTTTATCACAGGAAAACCCAAGAGCAGGACAGTTCCGCCACAAGGAAGTACCTCATGCTGATAAACTCTCCATCATTTTCAGTGGAGTTATAGAGCCTGGAGAGACATACACTCCTCCTTCCCGCAAGAAGCTTCTACGCCATCGCTCTGAGTCACCGCAGTTGCAAGAATACGAAGTGAATTGGATAGACAACAAAACGGCACAAACGCTGGATGTTGCGAAGTTGATGAGTGATGGTATGTTGCAGGAAAGTCCGGTGTGCGTTGAGATAGAATCAGCAAAGCGTAAGTACTGTATTGGAGAATGCATAGAAAGCTTAGACGCGATGAAAGAGGTGGAAGAAGGGAGCGATCTCTACTTGTTTGCGTTGGATCAGTTTCTGAAGAGAGAGTACAGAGAGATCTTTTTAGAGCTGAAGAAGCCGAGTTTGAAAATCGCATGGTTACAGAGGCTTCGATCTGCTTCTCTTTCTGTTTCAACAACATAGGTTTTATATTTTGGGACCCTTCAGTTTCTATAGTTTACGTGCTGTTTTTTTTTTTTTAATTATTAAAACTAATTTAGTCAAAACCCCACTTCTTACAAAATATCTAAAACTTAGAATTTACTTTTCACTCATTCGGAGTAGTAGATATTTTAAACTATAGATATTGGGGTGTGTGTGACCAAAACAATGAGTCAATGACAGCGTTTTGAAACTGGTTATTAAAAACACAACACTATATAATCTTCAAAATGCAGCCTCTTCAAACAAAATTCTCCACGTAGTTAATGATATTACATGTAGACCTTAGGAGAGAGTAAAGCAGGAAAAGTTTGGACGAGTGGCAAAGTGAAATGAGTCGTTTTCTTTACCGGAGGAAGAAGGAACTCAAATGAAGTAAAGAGCCACCGACAATGCAGTGTGAAGAGTGAAAAGGAGCTTTTTAAGAGTTGATTAGTATCTTTTGAATAAAGTAAACTAAAGCGAGTCACGACAAAAACTATACCAAAGTGGGAAATAAAAAAAAAGGATTAGTCGCATCCCAATAATTAACAACACCCCTTTTTATGTTTAAGGGCAGCCCCCACACCGCCACACTCTCTTTTTCCCTCATTTGTTCTGGCCGGGAAAAAAAAATCCCTCTATGTTCTGCCCAAACACGTAGACCTTGCAACGCGCCAGGTAGGGGTCGAACCTACGACCTTCTGCTTAGGAAACAGACGCTCTATCCACTGAGCTACAGGCGCTTTCTGTTAACTATGCCTCGTCAAGTAGCATAAAACTACCAAAAACAAAATCTCGATACTATCTTAGTCATCTTCGTCCTTCACTTTTCGTAAACAATTTTTTTTGTTGTCTATAGCCGTCGGCGGCTTATTTTTTTTTATAAATATTAAATTCTCGGTTTAGAAATTGTACGTAACACAAAGAATAAAGTGAAGAAGTCGATGTTATCTAGAATAATCTTCAATTTAGCGATGTATACAACAAGTTATATATTAGCAATCGCGTTGTTTTTTAGTACTTTCATTTAAACTTTTATTTTTCGAATTTTGTTTTTGTTTATATCTGAGTTAGAGGGGCATAACTTGTATAGACAATAACCAGCGCGTGATAGCACGATGATATGACATTCGGGCCAAAAACATTAATTTGCTACAATTTGTTATTCTTTTGTCAAAAAAAATTAATTGCTACAATTTCATAATCGATTCTACCGTTTTGGCACGCGTGATAGAGTTTTGGGTATCAGGCTTAAATTGTTTGTAATCGTGTTTTTTTCAGCAAAACTAATTACTATATAGTCCATGACCAACAAAGCCGACGTTTAGCCAGCATGCAAGCTATCATTAAATACGAATAACTTTATGTGTTGTCTATTTATTTTGAATATATTAGATAAAAACTACCTAACAAAAAATGTTTGAATTCCAGTGGTCATCAAAATTTTGGAAGATTATGGAACGTTGGCCTAGTTAGGAGTTATTTAGCTATATTTATTGCTAATTTATTATTTGAGTCAGTTTATAGGTCATTATAACGAATCCCCTTAGAATAAAATGAAGCCAAGTAGGAGAGTGGAGTGGTTCTATTGGTTATAGCTTTACACACACTCTCTCTTTCTCTATCTCTATATACAAACCACTCAAACCAATCTTCATCTTTGGCTTTCACCATCTCTTTCTCTCCCACACATCTCTCATTCTACAGTTTCTGCACCATTTCCTACTGTTTCTCTCTCTCTCTCTCTCTCTCTCTCTCTCTCTCTAGCATCTAGATTTTTCTTGCTTTGTCTTCCTCTGACGACCCACTTTTGCAGATTCTCAAGGATTCTTCAAAGTTGAAGTCTTTTTTTCCCTTAAGATTCTTAAATCTCCCACCAAATCAGGTTCTTTGATTCCACCACTATACTATACGTTATTCCCCTCTTGTTACTCCTATTTATCATAGGATTCATTTAAAAAGCTTAAGTCTTTCACTAAACCCACAAATCAAAGCTCAAGCTTCCAAAAAATTAGAGATCAAAACATGATTAGTACTTTGGAAGGTGAAACTTTTCTCCCGTAGCCTTTAAACGATGGAGACTTTGCATCCTCTACTCTCTCACGTGCCCACTTCTAGCCATCAATTCGTAGTTCAAGAGATGATGAGCTTGCAGAGCTCGAGCTGGACTAAAGAAGAGAACAAGAAGTTCGAGCGAGCCCTTGCTGTCTACGCTGATGATACGCCTGACCGCTGGTTCAAAGTTGCTGCTATGATCCCTGGCAAAACTATCTCAGATGTCATGTGGCAATACTCTAAGCTTGAAGAAGACCTCTTTGATATCGAAGCAGGACTTGTCCCGATCCCTGGTTACCCTTCAGCTACTCCCTGTGGATTCGATCAGCTCGTGAGCCCCCGTGACTTTGATTTGTATCATAAACGGCCTAATAATGGAGCCAGAGGATTTGATCAAGAGCGGAGGAAAGGAGTTCCATGGACGGAGGAAGAACACAGGTGAAGAAGAACACAAGTCACACTTCTTTGGTTTCTTTAGCCGCAAGTTACTCCTCTGTTTTCTTGGTTTGCCGATGCGTTAACGTTTTCCATTTTTTTCATTGTTCTCTGCAGACGATTCTTGTTGGGCCTTCTCAAGTACGGAAAAGGAGACTGGAGAAACATATCGAGGAACTTTGTGGGAACGAAAACACCGACTCAAGTTGCAAGCCATGCCCAAAAATACTATCAGAGACAACTCTCTAATGCTAAAGACAAACGTCGCCCTAGCATTCACGACATCACCACCGTCAATCTTCTCAACAACAATCCCAGCCGTCCATTGTCTGATCATGACAGCTTCCTCCAACAACCACCCGAGGCAAAACAAGGGTTCACCGACAGGGATAATGCAGAGGAAGGAGTGATGTTTCTTGGCAAGAATCTTTCGTCGGTCTTGTCTCCCTACGATCCTGCCGTTAAGTTTGCCGGAGAAAATGTTTATGACGACGGAGCTTACTGTATCACTAGATCCTAAAACTCAGCGTTCAAAAGAAGCGAGAAAAGGTTGAATTTTGAAATTGCCATAGTTGCATTTAATCATCAAAAATCCCCCAGAGTTATGTTTAATGGTTAAACTTAAAAGGTTATGTTACGTAATTAGATGATTGTGATTGTGAATCATATAGTATGTGTGTATCAGTGGCAAAGTAGACCACTAAGTCGTTAAGGGTATATAATTAGAAGCTGAGTCTGCATTCCACTTTCGGTTCAAAGAATCACATTCTTTTTCACCTATTACAACGCTTCACCAACTCTTTGCTCCCTCACTAATATAAATATTAAGGGTGCCCTTAGATAATAGCTGTTAAATTAGTGCAAGTGGAACATATATGTATAAGCTCCGGTTTTAGAAGGAAGGTATTTTTACTCAATAGCAAGGAGTGGCTTCATCAAAGCTAACAAATCAGGGTAGTAAAACTTGCAAACCTTATATTCGTTGCAGGATTTAAGAATCTTGGAGATTTAAATCGAAAAAGGTTACAAATTCAGAAACATAAGAAACACTGCTGCAAATTAAACAACCATTTCCTAATGATGAAAATGCAGTTTTTGCAGAAATATGAAGTGGAGATGATGAGTAAGCTCGAAAAATCAGAAATTTCAAGATAGAAATTGCCCAAAACATGAAAAGAGAAAACAAATTCAAATTTTTGCAGCAACTCGAGGATTATATTCAATGCGGTAATAACCTCCTTTAGGAACCTCATTGTATTCCCCTTTAACTACAAGTTCAGTGCTATCTTTTCCGCCAATAGTTATATCTCTGCTGGGAAATAGAAACGAGCAATCAAATAAAATGTGGAGACTTTTGGAGAAGGAAAAAGACAAAGACGAACCTAGCTGATGATTCGCTGATAGAAGGCTGTGACTGGTTCATGAACGCGAAAGTGGTGGCGGAAGCTGCCATCGCCAACGGGACAAGAGCAGAGCTCGACCACCAATTCCGGCGACCCTTCTTCGTAGAAACTGCGGTCAACTCATCAGTAGTCTAAGCCGTCGAATGTAACTTCCGGCGACAAGGCCGGAGAAAGGCGGAAAAAGTTTTGGAGGAGAAACGAGAAGCGACCAAACCATGAATACAAGGCCATGGATGCCAAAATGCGTAGCTTGCTTCGACCCAGAAGAAAAAAAAAAAAAAAAAAAAAAGAGATTCAATGCAAAACGGCATCTGATAACAAGCAAAACGCAAATAAACATCAATTGATGTTAATAAGTAGAGCTAGGAGCAATGCTACTATTTTCACTAAATTATGACCAAAACGACAATCTGATATAAAACAAAACGCAGATGAAGAAAAAATAATAATAAAATAATCGTTCACTCGCGAAAAAGTCGCGCATAACCGCGTTTTGGCAAAATACAAGCAAAATTGAAAGAGCACGAGGTGCGATTAACACCAACGCGCTCAATTTAGGCCTAACGCGCTCAACGCGCACGAGGTGCGAGTGGGATAATATTTTACGTTTTCAAGCGCGTGGCATCACGCTATGCGAAGTAGAACCAATGATATTATTACACGTGCGATCGAAAGAGAAAAGAGAACTTATTCCAATAAAATAATAACATAACTCATTTAAGTATATCACTGTTCAAATCTTTGGTTGCAGAGCGTGAGAAAGGCGATGAAACCTCTCTGATTTCTCTTCTTCTTCTTCTTCTTCCTCTTTCTCGCTTTGCGTTTACCAGACCCTTAAAACAAACTCCTTAAAATCGAGATAAGATCTGAAAGAGAAGACTGACGAAAAGCTTTGGAGATGGAGGAAGAGCTCAATTGTTTGGGAAAGAGCTTGGGAGGATTCTGCAGTCATCTTCAGAGTAGCTGCGATGCTTTCAATAACTCTCTCCAGCGCCGCCCTATCCCTCTCGGTCTGTTCCATTTTCCTCCGACTTTGTCATAAAAACCCTAAATTCAACATCTTCATTGTAAATTCTCGTTTTTTTGGCAGATTCGGCTTCATCTACTTTCATCAAGAGCCTGAATCGTAGACTCTCCACCGCTGATTCAGAGCTTAATTTCCTTGACTCCATGTCTTTCGGTACTGTCTCCTTCGAGGAGCTCCTGGGTCACTCTAATCAGATTTACAAAAATAACCAAGAGGATCTTCTCCGACTCCAGGACTGCCTCACTGATTTTGGCTATGTTCCTGGCACTCTTTTAACTTCTCCATCTTCCTCATTCTTCTCTACTTTTTCGATTTGAAGCTGAGACTTTTGGAATTTAGAAATTGAATGTAGTTAGCTTCTCTCAGATTTTATGTTTTTGGACCTAGAAATCGAGATTGATGAAAGTAAAGAGGAAGAGTCTGACTTTGGAGCATTTGAGCATGAGGGTTCAAAGCATTCGGATGATGATTTGGAGCCTCATTCATTGCAACGTTCAGTCTTTAAAGGGTTAGACGAGGACGATCTGTATCCTTTTTGAACCTTGGTGAGAAATTAGGATTCTTTGGTAGATTAACAAGACCAACCAAACAAAAAGAAAACTGCTTTATGCATACTGTGAAACAAGGAATGTTGTGCTTTTTAAAATTTACCTTAATGTTTCATAGTCTGGATGATTCACTAAATTTGAAGAACCTTGAGCTTTCAGATGCTTGTCTTGCAACTTTAGCTCTAAAAGGTAAGGCTGCAAGAATTTTCTTCATTGTTTGATAGAATAACATGGTTGGCTCTTATTTCTTACTCTGATCATGTTCTTGATGTTTCTTACTTTTCCAACTATTTCCAGCTAACGATAATGTGAAGGATCTTTACACGTCTATGGAAGAATCAGTGATTTGATGCGTTAGAAAGATATAAATCCTTGTGTGTTTCCTCTTAGTCGTACATCAGCAATTTTTCCTATGATATAGGGGCAAACCATTTGACGCAGGTGCTTTACCTGCTTCAAAGGCGTCAATGCTTTCCAATGGTTATTTTCTAAGGCTTTACTAGTGTGATATGATTGTCGGTGAATTACATTAGTCTCTGGTATATGATTCTAGACTTTGTTACATGCAGAAGATGAATATGCGACACTAGATATGGATAGAACTTCAGTACCTGCGATAACATTGGTAAAAGAAGAATATGAAAGTCTTCCCTCTTACATGAAGGCTCTAGCATCGTGGAAGGTATGAAGATTATCCAAATTCTCGTATTACATCAAATTTTCATCTTCGTAATTAACATTTAAGAACACGTCTTAGCAGCATATTAAGAACTGAACCTATAAAACCGATTCTAACATTATAGTCTCTCGCAGAAACTAGATCTGAATCTATATATAACAATCTCTATGCCCAAAAGATTGAATGATTTGTTTATTTGTTGTAATCTAACCGCTGATAGGTTCCCTTACTAATTCCCTCTTATGTTTCCAGGATCTGCTCAGTGCCGTACAGAAATTCAACTCGGTCCTCGGTAGTAAGAAAGAAAGAAAGAAACGGATGTTACTACTTCCGAGCAGATGAGATCTCGACTCTAGGCCTTGGTACGTTCATCTATTGCTCCAATTTTATAGTTTTAAACAAACAAAGAAGCTCGTTGCATAGACAATGATGATGATGATGCTTGGGTTATATCGCAGGCCATAAGGAGAAAGCGTACACGGTGCTGCTAACGCGGATGAAAAGATTTCTAGTTGAAACATCGGATGGTCTTGTCTCCTATAGAGTTGCCTAGAGCTGAGAAGTAATCCATCCATATCTTATTACAGTATTTAGCGTTTGTAGTTTTATGAGATCCTTTGTCATTTGGAAAATCAATCTTTTATGTCTGAACAACTTTTTTTATTAATAAATATATATATATGAAAGATTACAAGATGGTTGATCAATATATAATTTTTATTGAGTCAATAAGCCGAATATTCATAAAAAGCATTAAAATTAAAAAAGTAACACTGATGTGACATAATTTTTCCATCACTGTTTATATGAGAAGGTTATATTACCATTTACCTCTCGTCTCCTTTCTTTCAACATTTTTTCTCTACCTTCCTAAAGAAAAGAACAAGCATTTCTCTTTCTTCTTTCTTAGAATTTCGTTTTCCTTTTTTCTTTCTACTCTTCTCTCTTTCCTCTTTTCTTTATTCAGCAACGAACATTTTTTTTACCTCACAGCATTTTTAAAATTTATCTGGACAATTCTCAACAATTCAGTACAAAATCATACAAAGAACTGGGTGAAAATTTGGTAAAAATCGGACAAAATTCAGTTAAGTTATAAAAACCAAGATGATGTGAATATATTTTATAGTATCAAGTTACATGGTATTGTAACATATTAAAAGTTATTGTATCATGTAAAATTTATAAATTTACTGCTAATATTTTGATTAGTACGATAACATAATTGTTATCGGTTAACTTTCATGTTTTTTTTTGTTGGAACATCAACCTTTTTGTAGATATGATGATTTTGTAACAAGTTATATTTGATTGTAACACGTTAAATTATATATTGTACCTCTAACATTTGTTTTAACACGGTAGCTTAATCATTTTCTGTTTAACTAATATATTATCTCTAATTGTTAACATGTTATTGTATGATATAAACGTTTAGATATAGCTGTACTTTTTAATTAACAAGATAACTAAAATCTTGATTTTTTAACTTTCAGATTAACGTATCAATATTCATGAGAAGAATATTGATTCTACAATTTATCTTCAATCACCAGAAAACCTAATGTATGAATGAATAGTAATCGCTATAAACCCAGATATCAAAATTAATTTAAAATCTCAAAAATTTTACATCTAAAACTCACTAAGAAAACAAAGACAATAGAAGATTGTATTTGATTGAGAAGAAAATGTTCTGAGAGAAATGAGAAAATGTTCTGAGAGAAATGAGAAAAAGAGACGAGAGAAAGATGAAGAGATAAAGGAGAGAGAAAGAGAAAAATGGGATGCAAAGGAGAGAAATGAGAGAAAATAAAAAAAATAAGAGAGAATAAAAGAAAGGGTATAATGGAATTTTAAAAATATAAACAGTAACAAAAGTTTCTCTTTGTTACTTTTGCAAATACGACATTAATTTGAGTTAAAGAATGCAAATACTCATTTTTATTTTTGTGAAATAAAGAGATTCAATTTTGATAACTTGTTATTTTTATCTGGAAACTTTAAATTTTCCAATCAAGACATTCGAAGATAAAAGAAAATATAATTCACTTTCCGACCATGGCCAAGAATGTCTCACCTTTTTTTTTGTCATGACCATGGCCACATGTCCATTAAAAATATCATTAAGATTAAGACAAGTCTATTTTGGGCATTTGGAATTAAATGCATCTAAATGCAGATACAAGTCACAAAAATCAAACCAACAAAAAAAAAAAGTAGCATCCAAATGAACACCTAAAAACAGAAACGAACAACATCTGGATGCATCACTCTGAGATAACATTTGGATGTAGCATATGGATGAACGAACATACCCTAAGCAAATCACATGTCATCATCGATTTAGCTGGTGGCGGGTATGGCCACGGGCTTTGAGTCTTCTGCTTTTTCATGTTCCTTGTTTAGCAACTGAAACATATTCATCCCAAAGAATACGTTAACAAACAGAGCAACCTCAATCAAAAATCAGCATCATGTTGTGACAAATAGGCATCTCTCCAATGAAGTAAATACCGTACTAAGAGCATAAGTGAGTGAGAGAGTTAAGATCTAACCTTGTTGTTGATCAAGTTGTGGAGAGCAATTACACTCCGAATGAGAGATGATAGATAGATAACGAGCATCATGTCATTTGTTTTCACTGCACATCATAAATGCAGTAAGACTAATGAAGCAAATGCTTCACGAAAGCAGAAAGCAGCCCAATTATAACAAATTCGACAACGGAAACTCACCCGAGAAGGCCTTGACCAACTCGTTCACATTCAGGTTAGGAAGCAAGTTGAAAACGTCCTGTGGGTTTTAAGAGGAATATTTCATTAGATAATCGACAATAGCAAACACAGTGATTAGGGAATTCTAATTTGACACAGTCTACAAGTTTATAACCATACTTTCGTAGAATCAGAACACTAAATCAAAACATGGGAGTTCTAACCTGCAGATGGTATAAAATCTCGTGGTTTAGAGGGAGCTTTCCTTCGATTACAAGGTCAAGGTAACTCCGGATTTCCCGAAGACGTGCATCTAGCCCTTTCAAAGCAGTAAGTTTGGCAGTGACCTGGTGCAATACACAACACACATGATATCAGTCCTCAAGCAGAAACTATTACGTTCATAAGATAACCTTGCGAGAACATCAACAACACATATCCTCCAAGAGCATCATGATTTCAGCAAACATATGAAGGAATGGTAGTGCAACGATCAAGTTTTGTAAAGAAAAGAACCTCAGTCGCCAGGGTACTGATTGTTGTATCTTTCACATCCCTGAGCAAATGTTCCACGCCTGTACAAAAAGAGAATGAAGTAGGTAAGTGGCAGAAGTTATTCCTCAGAAGCAATCACGAAAGACATTTTTCAAAAAACACCAAACCGAGGTGATCAAATCGTTGGAAGGCTTATTTTCCCGTTTTGGACATACCAATTTCCTCGACTTCATGAGCAGCAATTTCTGTAGACACATGGACAAAGACTTTCTGGCTTTTCTGAGTAGCATTCTGAAAGGACAAAGACGTATTCAACCATGCTGATTAAATATAAGGATACAACTGTATAATATGGACAAGATTTGGAAGCGTATGTATCGTACCTCCTTGACTTCCTCCACTGCATAGTAAGCTTTTGTGGGGATTCCAAGTTCCTTTGGCTGGACATCAATAATGACCAATACTGGATTTGGAACATAGCTGCAGAACAAAGTTTCATTGTAAATGAAGCAAAAACTATAAGAGAATGCAAGGAGTGAAAGAAAATCGGCTTTCTGCAAACAAAATGTATCTCGTAACTAAAAACGGACCAGCATATCCTCAATCTTATCTCCCATGTCAACAAAACATAAGATAAAAGGTCAATAAGCTGATATCTGAACGATTAAGTTGGAAACTAACCCATTGAACAACGCGTGAACATCCAAATCATTCTCCCGAAGTTTAGGGCCTGTGCTGTACCAGCCTACAACATGTTCCTTGGCTGAAAAGCAAAATTTTTTTTGTTAAAAACAAGGTTTGTACATTGTAATATACGCTCTAGGCATCAGCTTCCCGATAAATACCATTAATTCTCTTGAACATGTGGAACATTGACTCATGATAGTTGTGATCCAGAAACCAGATACTTGGGTCTTTGTCATCCTCCTCAAAGGGCACTACAAATCAAGATACCAAATGTCAAATAAGTCATATTTAAGCACTAGCGATTTATTGAAGAGGTTCCTCGTGAGAGTGTCCAGAGATAAGCAACTATGCAAACTAATATTCAGCTAAACCTCCAACAAATTAACCTAAATTTTGTTTTTTTTTTTTTCCTTTAATCCAAGTAGAATTTGAAATTCCAGAAAAGGGAGTAGAACCGAGCTCGACTGAAACGATAAAGTGAGTTAACTGAAGTAAATTTCAGACAATATTACAAAATAAACTCTAAAATAGCACAATTGCGAAACAGAAGTTCACAAAACAGCTACAAAACCCCTAAATTGCTACTATATGTACATCCCGCTAGAAGCCAAATACGAATAGCCCCTCACAAACGAAACGAAATTCACCTAAGAAGACCCAGAAGCACCGAATTTCAGTAAAACAAAGACCTCAGTAGAATCTGAGATCTGAGAAGACCAACCGGTCAGATCGAAGAAAACAGGAAGAAAGGAAAGGAAAAATTTAAGGCGCACCTGCGTAGCTGTTGGTGACGTCAACGGTACCACGAGAGCTGCTCCCGAGTAAGACGCCGACGACGCGCTTGCGCGAGTCCTTAGCGACGCGGTTGTAATGGTCGACGATACTGAGCAAGACGAGTGGATGAACAACCACCTTCTCGATCGTCCTTGCTGATATCTGTTGCGTCTTTATCACGTCCATGTTCGAAGAATCGATGAAAGAAATCGATTTCTCCGGTGAATATTTTAAAACAATGAACTCCCGATCTCGTTTTTTTCCCCGACGGAGCTTTAAGTTTGCTTCTTCTCCAGGAAAACCAATGACTTCTGTTCTCCCGTCTTTTTTTTTTTCTTTTCTTTTCAGGCTCGAGCTTGTAAGAAACTAATGGGCTTTTATTGTTTCTCAAGTCCAATTTGAAGGGCCTGCTAACGCCATTTTCATAAGGGAGAGAAAAAAAACCGAACCGATAATAATCGAAGCAATGTTTATTTTAAAGCTAAGAACCCTAAAATCTTGAGACATATAGGTTAATCACATAATAGAATCATAAGGCTGAATAGAAAACTAGAATCTAAAATAAGAGTTTAGGTTTTTCTCCACTTACTTTGTTTTTATTGACTTATTTTATCTTTTTAATTTATTTTGTCATTCGGTTTTTTTTAGATATAATATTTTTATAATCGTAATCATATTAATACTAGAAAAAAATAAAAAATATATAAATATAAAATGAAATAAAAAAAATTATCACTAGTTAATAAAAATATATCTATAAAAAATACAAACTATGTTACAAAATATGATTAGTAGAAAGACAAAATTTATGTGGGATACAGGAGTAAAAATCTAGTATTCCATTAATATAGAAAACGGATGACTATAAGACCGTATAATAAGAAAAGGAAATATTTCTTACAAGAGAGAGAGAGAAGAAGCAATAAGTGAGAAGTAGAAAGATCAAGAAAAAGAATGTAACAAAAATAATATAATATGGCTAATTAAGGCTATACGACTAAATTAGTTACGGTTATAATGTTGTTACAAGTACAATTGTTTCCTCATCCCAATCGCATGATACAATAAAATTACTTGTCCAATAATTTTGATATTTAATCTTTAAATAATAATTGATATTTTTTCCGTTAATACTCTAGCGAGAACTGGTGTTACTACAACCAAACTTTAACTTATAACTCCGAATATTGGGTCTAATCCAAAGACCAGAATTAAGCTAGTTCCTACATACATGTGATCTCATGTCCACATTTTTGGCATCCACTAGTTAAACCCCATTTACAGAAAGCTTAATCGGAGATCCAACGGTGGATGTTCCATCCCAGCCCCACAAGATGAGTATGTGGAAAACGTTGTCGTATTCGCTTGCTCTCGTATGTATTCGTTGTGGCTCGCAACAGTAACATTTGCTTTCACTCTCTCAACCTTCGATAATGGAAAGAGTTGCAATGTCTCTATCACCTTTTCTTCTTCACAAACGTCAAATATATCTACACAAACAAATACATACATTATCAGTTTCTTACCTTAATATATTCAAAGTCAGGTATGTGTCACAACTCATAATCATAACCATGATTGAAATACAGGAATATGTGTCGGGAAAAAATAAAGAATAACCTTTCGGCGGTGGTTGATGACGACGTGGGTTGTCTTGAGGGGGACGAAAGAGATCTGTGTCTTGACGATGATCAAAATCAACGGTGGAGATTTTACGGCGCTTTTGTCTCTCCCTGGCTTTATGGTTTTGGAACCAATAGAACACGTTCTTGCTCTCGATCTTGCCGTAGAAACTCAGTTCCGTAGAGATCTTCTGAATCTGATCGGTGCTTGGTGTTCGCAGCCCCGCCTTGAACAGATCCGTCAGAAGCTTCACTTGCTCCACCGTCGGATTCCACCGTCCGCACTTCGTCCCCGTTCCTCCTCCGTTGTTGTTGTTATTACCTAAGCCTCTAGCTTTAATGGAGAATCCTCCCATTGACATTTTAAACTTGTATTCAACAACAAGTGTTTGGTTTTGAATATGTTTCTATATATGAGATTAGGTATGTTAAGATGGACTTAGTGATGTGAATGGACGAGGGTTTGAATATATATAGACAATTAGATGGTGTTTTGTTTTCTGAATATATTTGTATATACAATGTTTTATTATTTTACTAACCAATATATATATATATATATTAAGGAGAATAATTAAATATATAATATGACTGTGTTTTGAGTTTTGTGTCGTTTAATTAGTGTTATGTAGGATAAAGGTAGAAGAAATCAAACAGAATCTGCAGTGCGTTGTTTATTACGAAATGCATGCTTTCGTTTTTGGGATTTGGAAGAGACTGAATTTTTCTGAGATTTGATCGTTTTCTTTATCCAACCTAATTAACTAGGGTTCTGTGCTGTCTATGCATAATGCATATACATATACATATACGTAATTTTTATGTAGTGATTTGGTTATTGATTAAATGTGGTATATATGTCGTGGCCTGTGGGGGCGGGGTTGAGTAAAGTTTGATTTTTTTATGTTGCAAATTTAAGCTAGAGAACATATTAGTATATTAGCGTGTGATCAGTTATCCTACTATAATTCTAGAATTAGCCGCAAAGATTAAGTTAATAATTACAGTACTTGTGTGAACATATTGAAAGGCTGATGAATTAACGGAAAATTTTCCACAAAAGCTGTGACTTGATAAAGTAGTTGGTCGCGGCAGATGGGGATTAAAAAATAGAGGGAACATTGTTTCAAAATAATGATAAATAAACTAAACTCAATAAGTACTTAATCTGTCTATAAAAATCAGTACTGTCCTTAATTATACTGTATATAATACATTCAAATTACGCGTTGTTCATTAATATAGGTATTTGATATTGAATCTGTATATATAGATCCACAGTTGGAATTTAGAACAAATAGAACTATGCCACTGATCAAAAGTTTTTTTTTTCTTTTCTTACGGTAAGCTGTCTCTGCTAGTCTGCTAGTTAACATTTTACGATAGTATAATGCTCTACGTAACGTATGCTTTGAATTCGTCTTGATTTTTAAAATCTCTAAAATCAAATCAAAATGACAACTGTAGACTTGTAGTGACTAAAAAAGTTTGATTTAAGATGTGTGTCTTTGGTATATATATACAGTATATATATATATATAGTGAATTAATATTGTGTACGTACGTGAGGTATATAAGTGGTGATGATTTTGAGGAAGACATGCACGAGACGCTAAAGGAAGACTAAAGTTCCAAAGAATAAAATGACAATCCGAATAAACCAAACATTGTTTTTATAAACAAGAGTCTTTCTGCTACACAACACACTAATAGGTACAAACGATATATATTTATATCACACTTTACAAATTCAGTTGCAAACTTTCAAGAAAACAAAAGAAAGAAGATCGATTTGGCCTCAAAGTCAAAGTTTACGTTGGCGTTTGTTACTTGGACTCATCCATAAATTAACTATTAGATAACAGTTTTATATTTAACTTACATAATATTTTACCATTTCTAAAACCTATATATATATATATATTTATCTATACATATATCATATATGATATGTCGTTTTTTAAGATACGTGAATATATATATATATATATATGTATGAAATTAATTAGTGCTATATATGGTATATATAATTTATATAATTATGATATATATGGTATGTGTAGTAGTCCGAGAGGAGGAGGGTGTGTTCTTATCCTAGCTAGTCAAAAAAGTGGAAGGTGGTCTCACATTGTAATGCCAACTTCCGTGCAATTCCCAATGATGTTCCATGCACCATTAATTTAATATACAGATTAACCAATTAGTAAACAAATACTATTTTAAATTTTTTATTAACATTATATAGGATTTATGAAAAGTAAAGCTTCATGCGACATAAATTTGGCTACTAGTTCTTGGCAAGATGTGTTTTAGCTCTAACTCCTAGGTCAATGTCGTCTATCTAACTTTCCTTTTATCAATCAACAGTTTCAAACCAAAAAGAAAAACTTACGATGAGTCATGGCATGGGGAAGAATTTGAGACTTGCATTGCATGTTAGAAAAATACGAACATGTATCGGTTTTCTTTGTACCTTTCTCTTTTTCTGCATATCCAATCGAGATTTTGATATTTTTCCCTTTTTTGGTGTAAACTCCCTTTTTTTTTTTGAGCTTTCAGACTAATATTTGCGCTAAGTAAAATATTAATTTAAAAACTAAAAACTCAGGGAACAAGGGCATGAAATTGTGGCACGCTTGGAAATGTAGGGCATAGACAGAGACCCCTACCGCCTCAGGAAGCTTGGGAAGCTTCCTTTTTGATCTTCCTGCTTCCACGTTTGTCACTGATCCATCCAACATAACCCCAAAACTTTAATTCCATTTACCCATTTCCAACTTTCTAGCTAGTCTCAATATAGTTTTGCGCCGTTAACGATTTTGCATGAAATACTATCGTTAAATGGTGCATATGTGCACACGTATTTAGAACGATTGATTTTATTGCGTAAAAACTTTCATTATATAATAATAGCTAACACTTTCTAAAATTAATCCACAAATAATAGCTTTTTAGTGAATCCAATACACAGAACTGGAGCCTATGTCAGTTTTATCACAACGAAAATAAGAATATAGTCAAAGTTAATCTGGCATGTATTTAACGTACGTTGACGTAATGCATGTAATAATTTTTTACAAAAAATGGTGGAGGAAAAAAAAATTATAATAGGTGAGAATAGTTTATTTGCGTTAGGTTAATTTTTGTGGATGTATAAAACGACTGTTATATTTTTTTCATAATTTTAAGGATATTGTAACAAAAATGCAGCAAACAAGAAAAGCTTACTAACCATATGCTTTTCGAAGGTCACCTCGCAATAGTTTCCATTATCAGAATAATCAACACTTAAATTATCATCATGATCAACACTTTCCCTTACCATCATAATTTTGGGCTAGTGCACTAGCTAGAACACAACACTCTTTTCACTCTTATATATATATCGTTTTGAGTGTTTGTGTGAGTTTCGTAAATGGAATCTCAAACCATTTGCACAGAGAAAATTAAGAGGAACATATATTAGGGTTTTGTTGCTGATCTTGATCCTACGGTCTAATCTTCTTCCTTAATGGCTTTGCTTACCTGAGAGTGTCATGATGATCCGTATCTAAACACCACACTTTTCGATTGCCAAATATAAAAACGGGATACTGTTCAACAAGAGTTAAACAACATGATGTTTCAAGTCAAAACATAATAACGACACGCGGTTTTCTTCAATTTCCTTTTCTGTTTCTCTGCTCATTCTCCGATTGATAGATAAATCTCACGTTACTCTGAAGATGGAACTCACCATCTGAGGATAATTCAGCAAGCGTTGCCTGTGATCTCGAGCCAATTCTGACCCTAAGATGGGATCGACGTTCAGGGATCGGACGGCTGAGTTTTATTCACTGTCCCAAACGTTGAAGAAGATCGGAGTGGTCCCGTCTGTCCATCAAGCTGAAGATGATCCGGCAACCTCCAAACGATCGCCGCCGGGATCTTCAAGATCCGAATTCAACAAGAAGGCTTCCCAGATCGGTGTACGTATTCAGGAAACGTTTCAGAAGATCGCGAGGCTCGTTAAATGTACGGTTTGTAATCAGATCTATTGTCGACGTCTTCGTATCTATTTTTTTCATTAGAACTGGTTATCATCTGAGAAAATAACGCGAGAAATGTAGGGTATTTATCCGGTTAGTGGAATTAGACTTTCGGATTTTTGAATTCTAACGAGATTAAGACATAATTGTCTGATAGATGGTGTTGTCGAAAATTCTCTGCTTTTAGGCATTTAGCTTGCAGCAAGAAATGGTGCTCTGAAGATTGAAAATTCTATGTTACTTGCTGTGGAAGTCATTTTTGCTGTACATTTATTGCCCATGATCTTGAAACGAATTCTAGAGACATTGTTGTGATTTCAATTGAAGACAGCCTTGATTCTTCTAACATGTGGATAGTTTGTGGTTTCCTGCAACTGTTGTTGATGAATCGCAGTGGCAAAACAATCGTCGATTTTCAATGACCGGACTGTGGAAATACAGGAGTTAACTTTGGTGATCAGGAACGATATCACGGGGCTGAATATGGCTCTCTCGGATCTGCAAACCCTTCAGAACCTGGAGATTGCTGATGGGAATTATTCACAGGACAAAGTTGGTCACTACACAGCTGTTTGTGATGACTTGAAAACCAGACTTATGGGAGCGACAAAGCAACTTCAAGATGTTCTGACTACGAGATCAGAGGTTGGATACTTGGATTTGTAGATTTGTCAACTTCCTATATATTTGTATCTGCCTATTGTATCTATTGATAAATGTCTTGTCTTCCTGCAGAACATGAAGGCTCATGAGAACCGGAAACAACTCTTTTCCACAAAAAACGCAGTAGTAGATAGTCCTCCTCAGAATAATGCAAGATCTGTTGTACCTGAGCCTCCTCCTTGGTCAAGTTCATCAAATCCTACCGGAAATTTACAACAACCACTGTGAGTTTTGTTCTAAAACTATCTCCTAAAGTAATAGTTTACTCTCATCTAATTATGTTTTGTCTTCTGTAACCGATCAGATTGCCGCCATTAAATAGTGGAGCTCCTTCAGGTAGCCAACTCAGGTATTTCCTAATTTCCGTATCTGATTGTGTTCGTTTTTGTTTTGAGGTCAATTTACGTATAAACATATGAAGTTTTGTCTCGTGCCATGCCACACCAGACGCAGATCTGCAATCGAGAATGCTCCTTCGCAGCAAATGGAGATGTCCATGTTACAGCAAACAGTCCCAAGGCAGGAGAATTATAGCCAAGGCCGAGCTGTTGCGCTGCACAGTGTCGAATCTACAATAACAGAGCTCAGCGGAATATTCACGCATCTAGCTACGATGGTCACTCAACAGGGAGAGCTAGCTATCAGGTTCTTTAACGTTCTTACCCAAAACCTGTTATACTCCCAAGTTTCAGTAAACACTTAGTTAACACCTGTGGTTTTGTGTAACAGAATCGATGACAATATGGATGAATCGTTAGTTAATGTAGAGGGAGCACGCAGCGCTCTTCTGCAATATCTCACTCGGATATCATCAAATAGATGGCTCATGATCAAGATCTTCGCTGTTATCATCTTGTTCCTCATTGTTTTCCTCTTCTTTGTGGCTTGAAAGTTGAAACGACAAGGTTGCATCTCTTGAGAGATCCTGTGGTGTATCAAATCCAGCGCTAAAACTTCAGCTATACACATGTTAAGCTTGCAAGCTTTTAGGGCTCCTTTTATTCTTTTGTTTGTAAAGTTTCAATTTTTTTGCAAGATTCGATTGGATTTTACCAGGAAACTTTTGATGATATAAAAATTTAGTTTTTGCTATACCTTACACCTGGAAAATGCAGAGCAGAGCAAAACCAAGTCTTATTCCGAATACAAATAATCACACATAATAATGTTGCATACTAAACATCATACACAGAACAGTAATCAACGTATATGAGGTCGGGACTTTGGAACCAAACTCACTGAGGGCATCAACGAAATACTCTCAGAAATTAGTAAGTACCATCTATATGCCTCAGAAAGATCCAATCAAGTTTTTCTTGGAGTTAAAATATACTAACTTGGTGTTTAAAGTCTCTCTCACTTGAATGGAAGTTTATGCAGCAGCTGAATCAAACCTCCGCATCATGTCACAGTGTGGAGTGTCGCGGACATACCCCCATTGTTGTCTCTGAAGCTCATACCGGCAATTCTGGCCCAGTACGGACAAGTAATCTCTGTCGACTTGCGCTTCAACATTCTGTCTCTCGGGGCTATTAATTGGGTATTCCTGCTCGAAATTGGCTGATCTCACAAAGTAATTGACGCCTCTATGCGTGGTGAATTTGTGATCGTACTGGTACGATGCAGATAGCGAGTAAATTGGTTGAGGAGAAGGCAGGAAGTTGAGGAGTAGTATGAACACAACAGGAAGCATTTGGAGGAGCATACGAGGATTGAATCCTGTATCAGAGGCTTGATGACCTGTTCTATTTCCCGCGCCGAAACTGAATGATCGGAATGGAGTAGTAGCAGGAGACATTCCTCCGCCGAAGAAGCTTCTGAAAATCTCATCAGCGTCAAATTCATCGTCGTAGAAGCCGTTGAATCCGTTGTTTCTTCTCGCCGATCGTCGTGGTTGATAAGCAGGCTCATCGGAACCACTGATGTCGTACTTTCTCCTAGTTTCTTCGTTGCTTAGGCATTGAAACGCCTTGGAGACGGATTTGAAAGCTTCTTCTGATCCAGGAGCCTTGTTCTTATCGGGATGAACCTTCAACGAGAGTTTCCGATATGCCTTCCTCAAATCTTCAACTGAACAGCTATTTCCCAATCCAAGAATCTCATAGTAATCCTTCTTCGATTTTATCTCCCTCACGATCGTTCGTTGCTCTTCCGTGAACGACATAGACGATGACGATCCCGCGGCAGCCGAAGAAGATCCACGTTGACGAAGAGAAGGTCGATCCGACGGCTTAGGCGACTCGTTGACGGCAGATTCAGGCGAATCCTCCGCCGCTGATTTATCCGACTTCTGCTTCAGATCCGAAACGAGATCATCGATCGGGAGACTCGGATCAAGACGACGAGCTTTCTCGAGAAATTTCAGAGCGCGAGGTCGATCTCCTGCTTCCATCGCATCCTTGCCGATTTTCAGACATTTCAACGCGTCATCTTTGTTACCATCCATTTTCAACGAGGAACAAAGTTTCCCGATGAGACTAAATCGGGAGACGAAGCCCCTGAGAGATTAAGGTTTCTCGCACCGATCGGAGTTCATCAGAGATGAGAGGATTTTCCGATCGAGTGGACGATTGAAAAGTATCGCTGCTGGCTGGCTCCCTCTTCCACAGAGCTTTCAAAGCCTTCTAAAGAACAGAGTTTCCGTAAGGATTGCACGAGAACATGCGTGCCGTCGTTTATATCAGCAAGAGAACATCGTGCCGGTTAAATTTTTGTAAAACTACAAGGCGTTTATGTTTACATGGTTAACACAGGCTATAAGAAAACGCATGACGTTTTCGACTTTAAGAAGGGGAATTTCTGACGGCGGAAATTGGGAAAACGACATGCGCTCTCATATAAACCTTTGGCACGCGTGTCAGTTGAGATATTTTGAAGGGGACTTAATGTCGGTCAAATTGGTAAAAAACGACAGGGCGTTATTCTTGGAAGGAGCTCCTCCAACGGATAAAATGAAAGATCCTCTGTCCTCCAGCGATATGAACCACGAGGAGTCATCTGAAATCGTAGAAGTGTTGGAAGACAAGACAAAAACAAAGTATAAATCTTTACATTCTAAAGTCTTCAATGGCATCAGGGTTTTGATCGGAGAACCTAAAGTTTCGACATTTCGGATTTTGTTGGTCGCCTTCTTAGGACATGAGTCTCGCGGCTAGTTTTCGCGGCAACTTCGGCGTCTTGTCGCAATGTAGCTCTTGTTGCAGTCTTCAGTTTCAACCCTTTGTAGCTACTTTGAGTCTCGATTCTGGGAAGAGAGAGACCCTTCGAAGGAAGAAGGATCTGATCCTGTTCCGAGTTCGAAGGTTTCATCTTCTTTTATTTGTTACTTGTACTTCTCTATTTATCTGCTGGAGTTTAATTCTCGAACTTGGAGTGTGCAGAAAGAGAGAGACTCTATGTAGAGTGACGGATACGCAAACGGAACCAGATGGCAATAACGATGAGGTATTTCTTTTGACATCGTCAATGTATTCTGTTTATGATTTCCCATGTTGTGGATAGTTTGTGGTAATTGGGCTTTTTACTTTGCAGGAAAACGGTGAAGAAGACAAAGAGGCCTTAGCAGATGATCCTCCTTCACAAATTCCTACTGAGATGATAACAGAGTCAACAGTTGTGAATGAAGCGCCGGGAAATGAGGAGGAAAACAAAGTTCAGCTCAGCTCTCAGGTATTTTTTTTTCCTTGGAAATTATGCATCAATTGCATAACTGAAGCTCAGTTGTATAAATTTTGCTTTTCGTTTATGAAATGTTGTTTCCTGACTAGTAGCTTCAAAGTAATTAACTAGGTATCATCGTCTATATAGATTCATCACTGAATGTATTGTACTCTACTGCATTTGTGATAGGACGGTGATAAATTAGAAGTTAACACCGGTTCTCCTCTTCCTGGTGTGAATGTAAGTATTATCAACAATGGTATTTACAAAAACAGCAGCTTAATGCTTTCTGTTTATTATCTTTCATAAAAAGTTGTTGTGAACAGCCGTTACGATTGGATGATTCCATGAGACTCCCTAAAGAAACCATTGATATTCTCAGAGGCCAAGTATTTGGGTTTGATACCTTCTTTGTTACAAGCCAAGAACCTTATGAGGTGAGTCAGTGAGAAACTCATCAGTTTGTTTTCCTTGGGCTGTTATCAACTTTTCATACATGAAATGAAAGATAAAGACCAGTTTATGACAAATCTTCTCTTATTCTGGATCTCTTGGTGTATTTGGGGACAATGTTGGTAGGGTGGGGTGTTGTTCAAAGGAAATCTAAGAGGGCAGCCTGCTAAAAGTTACGAGAAGATAAAGACAAGATTGGAGGTAGCAATTTTGCTTTTTTGGGTTTCCTGCTTAAGTAAGATCGTTGACAAAGCACAAGTTAATAGTATACTTCTCATCATCTGCAGAATAAATTTGGAGATCAGTACAAGCTTTTCCTCCTTTCCAATCCAGAGGATGATAAACCTGTGGCCGTTGTTGTTCCTCGAAGGACCTTGGAACCCGAGACAACAGGTAATCTTACTATATGGCTCCTTATCTATTTAGGATGTTTCTCAGATTATTGAGTTTCAGCATACAACTGCAGCTGTTCCTGAATGGTTTGCTGCTGGCTCATTTGGATTGGTGGCACTGTTTACATTGTTTCTCCGTAATGTGCCCGCCTTGCAGTCCGACTTACTGTAAGAACATCTTAAACCATGTTTTCTCCGGACATGTTATGCTTCCAAATCATCAAACTGAATGAACCTTGTTCTTCCCTCCCATGAATTTGATTGCAGATCGGCATTTGACAACCTTGAGCTGTTGAAAGATGGCTTACCAGGAGCTCTTGTCACCGCTCTTGTCCTTGGAGTACATGAACTGGGACACATTTTAGTTGGAAATAAGCTAGGGATAAAGTTTGGTGTTCCATTCTTTGTTCCAAGTTGGCAGGTGAAGATGAAATGTTCTCTTTAAAAAAGAAAGGAACCTCCTTTCAACTTGGAATTTTGTTTCTTAGACATTTGATGAACACGTTTTAGATGGCAGATAGGCTCTTTCGGTGCTATAACGAGAATCAAAAATATCGTACCCAAGCGAGAAGATCTTTTGAAGGTTGCAGCTGCAGGACCTTTGGCAGGCTTTTCTCTGGGTTTGGTCCTGTTTCTTGTAGGATTATTCGTGCCTCCTAGTGACGGCATTGGTGTTGTAGTTGACGCATCAGTGTTTCATGAATCCTTTCTCGCTGGTGGTATTGGTAAGCTTTTAGCTTTTAGTTTATTAAGATGAATGTTGAAGGCTGAATCTGGAGTGTTAATGTTGAAGCATTTTCTTTTTTTTTTCCTTTTATAGCAAAGCTCTTACTCGGTGATGTACTCAAAGAAGGAACTTCGATATCGTTGAACCCACTTGTGATCTGGGCCTGGGCTGGACTACTTATCAACGGCATCAACAGCATCCCTGCCGGAGAGCTTGATGGCGGTAGAATCGCTTTCGCCATTTGGGGTAGAAAGGTAACTTCAAATCCCAACTGGAACATTCCCAACTTAAAAATGAAAATTCTTGAACTCTACGTTCCAAATGGTTTCAGGCCTCGACACGGCTCACAGGTCTCTCGATAGCGCTTTTGGGGCTCTCTGCGTTGTTCAGTGATGTGGCATTCTACTGGGTGGTTCTGATATTTTTCTTGCAGCGTGGACCTATCGCGCCGCTGGCTGAAGAAATAACAGAGCCTGATGATAAGTATGTGTCTCTAGGAATCTTGGTTTTGTTCCTCTCCTTGCTTGTGTGTTTGCCTTACCCATTTGCTTTCAACGGTGAAGAAGCCATGATGATTGGCTTGTGAACAGTCTCATCATTTCACAGGTCAACAAGAATCACAAAAAATAGCTAAAACTTTTAGTTTTGGTCTTGCGTTCTACTTTTAAACTTGGGGGTTGTATATTTTGCTCTGCGATTTCTTACTCTCATAGAGGCTTTATGAGTTTCCGAAAGAAGAATAAAATTATCTCAAAAGTTGTAAACTAATTTTTTGTTAATTAGTTATGATTTGCGTGTGGAACATAAATAAGTATATAACATCTATATGTACCGCCAATAATAAAAAATTGAAAAGAAACTTTGGTTGAAAAACTAAAATGGACCAACATAGTTTAAGCAAAGTAGTTTTCCACTTTTCCTTACAGATTTATATAGTCAGATGCCGCCATCGGCGTGCTAGCTGGATAGCTTTGCTGCTTGTTTCACTCTTTGGGAGAGTCCTAGGGAGTATGAATGATTCTTAAGAGTATTCATTGGTTTTCGAATCCGATCATCAGTTTATAGTTCTACTAATCTCTACATATTCATCAAAAATATCTTATAAACGTAAACATAGAATACCGTTCATCGTATTAACTTATATTTAATTCTATAGAAAATCATGTCTAAAAATTCCCTTATTTTAATATACAGTTGATGCAAATTTTTTAATATACAAGTAAGTGATTAGGAATAATAGAAGCGAAATAATATTATAGCAGTAGAGAAGGTAAATAATAGAACAAAAAGCACATGCTTTTCATGTGGATTGATTTGATTTTGGTTGGTAGCATTACCATCTAAAAGCAACCTCTCAATATATGTAGTAGTCCTACTGTGATTGTTAATTCGAGAAAAAGGTCAAAGTTCCTACATTTATAATATTATACAATTGACTCAAGAAACATTACAATATCATTTTAGCAAAAAAGAAAAGCATGGAAATATCATATTATCATAATACTGATATTACTATTCAGAGAATAAAATATATGTATGTTAGGTTATTATTAGTTTAGGAATGAGAACCAATCGGTTAAGAAACTGCAAAGAATAATTAAAATATATGTTGGCTTTCTATGTATGTATATATAAAGCTTCTTGTAACTGATCGTGATGTTGATTGTGGATTGTTGAGATTAAAGTAATCCGAGATTAGGGACTCATATATACATCGATCTTGGTTCTTGAACTCGTTAATTATTTATGTCAATCAGTTCGTTTTTGATGAAACTAGGGTGGATTTCAAAAAATGGAAGAAGGATAAAGCTACGTCCTGACGACAGTTTTTTTTTTTTATTATTGTAGATGACATCATCAAGATCATGGATATGCGACGCTCTAATGATATGGCTCATAAGATGCGTCTGGAGGGATTTTCCTCCAATTTGAAGAAATGTTACCTCTTGCCAATACGTTTTCTTTCAAATGTATTCTTAGTAGGATTATTACTTTAAAGTGGATCAGTACCATAAAGTCAATTTGAATATTCTAGGTATAGTATTGGTCAAAACATGTTGTTTTGTAGTTACTGTTAGTATCCCCTCACCATACAAAATTACTATTTGTTTGTATATTGAACGCCCAAAAAAACACGAATGCTTAGAAAGACGGTTAAATATAGGAAGTGAGATATATAAAACGGGAAACAGAGCTCAAAAAAAGTATATCTTCAATAATTTCACTTGTATTGTAATACCAAATATATGAATTACTATAATACAAGTTCCGATCTTATAATTTAAATTTGATCATTGTACATGTCTAATTTTAGATATACAATCTCTTAATATTATTTATGGCTATTAAAAGCTTATTTTCGGTAAGGTACTATAAAGTAGTATATCTTTTTCCTTATTTCTCCAAAAAAAAAAAAAGAAATTCCAAAAAGGGTTAGCTTTCCCAGCCATCCACTTCTTCTACAGTAGCTTAGCGAGCGAGAGAGACAGAGAGAGTGCATGCACGTGACTTGGTGGTGAAAAGTTTGAGAAAATACAGGTGAGGGGTATTACAGTAAAACCACAATAAGTCACATGGTCTCCCATCTTTATAAATATGCCATCTGCTGAGTAATCTCTTTGGCCATTCGAATAGAATATTGACAAGTAATTACTTTTTTAGCCGTCGCTTCTGAATCTTCTTCCGATCTTCCATACTTTCAACATTCCGGCCGCCGGATCCCACCACCACCGATTTTTCTAAGCCGTTTCGATGTCTTCCTCAATGAATGTCGCGACGATGCAACCACTGAGCTTCTCTCGCCGGCTCGTCCCTTCTGTGGCTTCTCGCGGACTCTCTTCCTCTCTGACCGTTGCTGGATATTCCGGCAGAAACTCGGCTTACGCGCCTTCTTTTCGTTCGATTAAATGCGTCTCTATCTCGCCGGAAGCATCAATAGGTGAACCAACGCTCTTCGCTTTCTTTTTGGGTTTGGATTGTTTGATTTCGGATAAAATGCGGGAAAATGGTTTGACCAAATTAAGTCGAACTTCAACAGTGTTCAATAAAAAATTTGATAGGTTTGATTGTGAATAGGAATCTTCGTTTTGATACACAGTCTCAATCGGAATCGTAATCAAATGACGGTGATTGAGCTCTAGAAAGAGTGTGAAAACAACTCTGATGCATGTTATTAATATTTTGTATTTACAGTGAGCGATACGAAAAAGTTGGCAGATGCTTCCAAGAGCACAAACCTTATACCAATTTACCGCTGCATATTCTCGGATCAGCTCACTCCTGTTCTTGCTTACCGTTGTTTGGTCAAAGAAGATGACCGTGAGGCTCCAAGCTTTCTTTTTGAGTCCGTTGAGCCAGGCTCTCAGATGTCAAGCGTTGTAAGATAATGTTTCTTTTTGTACAGATCTTTGCATCTTTTATACATGCTAATCTTTCTCAGTAATTGTTCCTTTAATGTGATTGTTCTAAATAGGGTCGTTATAGCGTTGTTGGGGCTCAACCTGCCATGGAGATTGTGGCAAAGGAGAATAAAGTTATTGTAATGGATCACAAGAATGAAAGCATGACTGAGGAATACGTTGAAGATCCAATGGAGATCCCAAGAAAAATCTCTGAGTCATGGAACCCTGATCCTCAACTAGTTCAGGATCTTCCCGATGCGTTTTGTGGTAAGGAATCCATCTATATTGTTTATAACTTTCTAGAATAGGTAACCTAAAGGAATGAAGCCACTGGTTTTATGGACTATGGAGATGTGATAATAGTATGAATGTTTTCGAGACAAATTCCCGCTTTTGGATGACTTTTGTAAATGTCAAGTTTCATGGGTTTAAATCTCAAAACTATTGGGAAACTAATGTAGGTTGTGCATGTTCCTGATATATCATACCATATTAGGTCTTTTACGTTTTTCGACATTGACACGTACATGTTGTTTCTGAAGAGCGACAAGTAAAGTAGAGAGCTTTCTTTTCCCTTTTCTTGTGTTGATCTTTATCTGAACATTCTTCCCATGATGTGATTTAGTTTTCCTATCTCCCCTTTTCTCCTTTAAGCTCTTGAATATCCCTCATGAAGTGTTGTTTCTTAATAAGATTTCTTAATCATGATAGGTGGGTGGGTTGGTTTTTTCTCTTACGACACTGTTCGCTACGTCGAAAAAAGAAAACTTCCATTTTCAAATGCCCCTGAGGATGATAGGAACTTGCCAGATATGCATCTTGGTCTCTATGACGATGTAATTGTATTTGATCACGTGGAGAAGGTAAAATTTTGTTACCATCCATGCTGTTTGATTAATCGGTGAAATCTCCAAATTAGGTAACCAGAGGTTCCATAAATTTTACAGAAAGCATATGTTATCCACTGGATTAGACTAGATGGGAGCGTTCCCTATGAGAAGGCATACAGTAATGGAATGCAACATTTGGAGAACTTGGTGGCCAAGTTACACGATATTGAGCCGTAAGTATCTCTCTGACTTGATTTAGTTTGTGAGCTACTGAGCTTCTTTTGGCCAAGTTAAAAGTGTTTTTTCCCCTGTGAATCTCTACAGGCCAAAACTGGCTGCAGGTAACGTGAATCTTCAGACGCGACAATTTGGGCCAGCTTTGGAAAACTCAAACGTGACATGCGAAGAATACAAGGAGGCTGTGGTCAAGGCTAAAGAACATATACTTGCAGGAGATATATTCCAGATCGTGTTGAGTCAGCGTTTTGAAAGGAGAACATTTGCAGACCCGTTTGAAGTTTATAGAGCTCTAAGAGTTGTGAATCCAAGTCCGTATATGGGTTATTTGCAGGTTGGTAATGGAGAGAACCTTTCGTCCGCCATTTTGCATCATTACTCACTTGAGTTTCTCATGTGAATAAACTACTGATGATGTTTGTCCTCTTCATCAGGCTAGAGGATGTATTATGGTCGCATCAAGTCCAGAAATTCTCACCAAAGTAAAGCAGGTAAAAGTTGCCTATCTCAAGTCACATTAGTACTAGTAGAAACGGATGCGCTATTGTGGTGAAGCTAACTTTCTATCGTCTTTCTAAGCAGAACAAGATAGTGAATCGGCCGTTAGCAGGAACCAGCAAGAGAGGGAAGACTGAAGTTGAGGATAAGAGATTAGAGAAGGAGCTGCTAGAGAATGAAAAGCAATGTGCCGAGCACATAATGTTGGTCGATCTCGGTCGTAATGATGTCGGAAAGGTTGCAAAATACGGTTCCGTGAAAGTTGAGAAGCTTATGAACATCGAACGCTATTCTCATGTTATGCATATAAGCTCCACGGTAAGTGTTAAATTAGATAACCATCGGATCTCATATTATGAACTCTCGCTTAGTATTCCTAATCATCTTAAGTTTAATTGCAGGTAACAGGAGAGCTACAAGATGATTTAACTTGCTGGGACACGCTACGCGCTGCTTTACCAGTGGGAACCGTTAGTGGTGCACCAAAGGTAAAAGCCATGGAACTAATCGATGAGCTCGAGCCTACACGGCGTGGACCATACAGTGGCGGTTTTGGTGGAGTTTCGTTCACTGGTGACATGGACATTGCTTTATCCCTTAGGACAATTGTTTTCCCGACAGCAAGTCAGTACAATACAATGTACTCTTACAAGGATGCTAACAAACGCCGTGAATGGGTGGCTTATCTTCAAGCTGGGGCAGGTGTAGTAGCTGATAGTGACCCAGAAGACGAGCACCGAGAGTGTCAGAACAAAGCTGCTGGTCTTGCTCGAGCCATCGACTTGGCTGAATCCGCATTTGTCAAGAAATGAGTGAAGTTGTGCCCAAGAACAGAGCGGCTTTTCTTTCGAGAATGGAATCATGTGTATAACAGTTACAAGCAGAACAAGCTTTCTTTTTTTCTAGATTTTGCGGGATTTGCGTTTAGATTCCATTACTGAAGCTCAGAATTTTAAGCCCAAAAGAAAATTGATTTATGTATAATGTGATCTGATTGAACAAATCTACACCAGAACAAGCATTAAACTCGATTCTGGACATATTCAAGAAACGAAGGCACAGCTGGGTAGAGGCATTCATTCTCCTTGTTAACAAGAGGTTTCTGAAAGAAAATAATATCTCATCTTCAATCTGTAAGCAAAAAAACCAGTGTCATAAAAGAGACACGAGACTGAAAAATTCCAGTACCTACGAGTGAAACATTACTTGACACAATCTGAATGAAGTTTTCTTATCCAGGTGGTCGCACATAACACAAGGCTCAAACTTGATTTCCTGTAAACAAGTCCCAAAAACCATTAAATAACATCATAAATAATCATAAGCATGATACAAAAACAGGTTAAGAGGCACCAAAGGAGAAGCAAACCTCAAAAAGTTCTATTTCTTCATCAGGAGCAAAGTCAGCCATTTCGTTCAGTTTTCCAGTTATATCCATAGGCTTACTGGAACTTTCACCGTCAGTCTGCCAACATTAGCACAAGAAAATAGATTTTTACAAAAGAAAATGAGGTTTAGTGGATAAAAAAAAAAAAAAAAACGGTTAGAACTGTTCAGATCACAAAGCAAAAGGAAAGAAAGACCTCGTTTATGTAGAATAATTGTTACAAAATTTGTGGTAGATCACATTACAGAGAAGTTGAAGAGAATAAAGAGAATGTGGAAAACAATATTACCTTAACTCTGGCTTCTCGGGGTCATAGAGTTCATTTACAACCAAAGTGTATTTAAAGAAAAACAACATACTGTAATCATTTCTTCATGACCTGGGGCCATTGCATAGCAAGCCCAGAGCGTCTCCTTTCTTATTTGCATAATGAGGGTAGAGCCTTTGGTAACTTGATCTTATTATAAGCAAACAAAAGAGTCACCAATGCAGAGTTTTTTTTTTTTTGCGTATAGCCTCGTTTTCTACAAAGAAAATATCCAGAAAATTTTATCTACAGATTTGGTAGTAGCTCATGACCAGGATAGTCAAAATATCAAAACCTGTATTCCAAACATCATAGTGGCAATCGCCACGTCTGCAGCATCGATTTCGGCCCAACGCGCGCAACGCGCTCGAGGTGCGAGTGGGATAACGCCTTTACATTTTTAAGCGCGTGGCATCACGCTCTGCGACATAGAACCAATGATATTATTACACCTGGGAGCGAGAGAGAGAAAAGAGAATTAATATTATGTCGTTTTAGCCAAACCAAAACGACGAGTATTTTAAGTTTCGTCAAAATCAAAACTACAATATTTCAAAATCAAAACTACAGTATTTCAAAATCAAAAACTACAGTATCTCTGAGCTTCAGATTTTGCTCGTAGAGAAGAGCGGAGAGAGAGAAAGAGAGACGAAATCAGGTCCGTGTTTGCGCAAATTCCGCTCTTCGCCTCTTTCAATTACGTCGATAGTCTCACCGTCGTCGGAATATCCTTCTGCACGGCGTTGGTCTGCGAAGCAATCTCGTGGATCCTAATCTACCGCACGAGCTCCTACAAATCCCTGAAATCCTCCATTGACAAGGCCTCCAAGAAGCTCGAGACGATGAAGACGGATAACCCTTCCTCGAAGCTAAACATCATAAGATGAACATTATAGTCTCTCTCAGAAACTAGATCTGAATTCATATATAGCGTTTGTTGTTTTATGAGATCCTTTGTCTTTTGGAAAATCAATCTTTTATGTCTGAACAACTTTTTATACTGAGACACAAAGACAATAACAATTCACACAATAAATTACCCACACGGCTTTAAGCAAAAATTACAGAATTTGTGGCAAACGCATCGAATTGATCCGAGAAACTAGCGTTTGTGATCGTAATCGACGATCTCGGAATCAGTGACGGATCTCGAGTGCTGCACGATGCACCGTCCGATCGAGTTGATCCAGTCTTCTTTCTCCTTGTCAGAATCGGCGATGAAGTACATAGTCTCAGCTCTCAACGAAATCTCGAACGCGTTCTGCTTGTTGAGTATATCCTCTGCTCCCTTCACGGTTAGGCACGACGCGACCGGGACGACGCCGCGAGGGCGTGACACGCGCGTGACGTCTGAGTCCTTGAACCAGAATAGTTTCCCTTGTTTCAGCACGAACCATCGTCGTCTCCAGGTCTTGATGTACTCTCCCTGTTTCGTGAGCCACCCGGTTCGTTCCGGGTTAGACCAGAACTCGACGCCTCCGTAATCGACTGGTCTGGCCACCGGTTACAGCTCGCCACAAGCTGTCCATATCCTCTAAAACTGAAGTTTGTTTTAATTCCAATTCAGCGATTGGAATCGGAAATCAGAGTCGAGAGCAAAGAAATATTGCGGAAAATCTGTTCTCCGATTCTTTCGTGTTGGGTTTTCTTTATCTTGCCCGAAAATATATTGATCTTACATTTATTTACAAAACACCCCTTCCTTCGACTTTATTTTGCCAATTGTTAGCTTCAACTTTTTAATTTACTAAAACAGCCTTTTAGCAGAATAGTCTTGTTGCTTAAAGGATTTAATAATCTGGATTATTATTGTCTGAAAAAGTTACTTAAGATGTTTACTGAAATGATTTGATTAGGTTAATTCAAAGGAAATATACTTCTCTCGGGAAAAAGAATTATCCACTAATATACTGAAAATTATTAATTTACTCCTTTCTAAGGAAAACCCAAAAGTCAGAAGAAAAGAATGGATGCAGTTCTCATTTCTTCGCGTTGATGATATCATTTCTTCTTCTCCAATCGGAAGGAGCTTAGGAAGTTCGTCTGATTCTCGCCGATTATGTCTACGAAGAAAGTGAAATCGACAAACGACGCGAGTAGCAGCCACGGCGGCGGAAACGACGGAGAAAGCGTGATCGCTGATCATGGCCGCCACAAAAGCACTTGCGGCTACTGTAAATCCCCTGCGCGCACCAGTATCTCTCACGGTTCGTTCAAATTTTTTTTTTTTTTTTGGGTCTTTTCCAGTTTCTGCTCGCTGGTCATGGAGTAGGTTGTTGAATCAAAGGATTTGAATACAATCTTTGATTAATGAATTTTCACGATTTGATGGTTTTGTGTCTATGATTGAGAAAAATGTGAGTTTCATGACAATAAGCTGAAAAAAAACAGTCAAAAGTGTTTTGGGTTGTTCTTATGCTTGGACTTTGGACTGAGATTTTTCAATGTTGCTGAATTGGTTTCGTTATGATCAGAAATCCCAATCAATATGGTTAACTAATTAATGAATGTTTGCATTGCCAATGTAGGTTTATCAGCAGAGAGTCTTACCGTTAGTGACTACCAAGGTTTGTCGCTGTTC